CACGCCGTACTGTAAATTTACTTGCGCAAGAGCGGGTGGGCAGTGCAGACGCTCTGCGGATTCTTGTGCAAGAAAGGCCATACTTGCGCAAGAAGCCACGAGTGTAGACATAGCTCTAGTGTGCTATGATTGTACTATGAAAAGAAAGGAATCCCTCCCCCCACAAGTTCAAATCTGCAGAATCAAGGACTCTCCATGTGACATCAGTCACCTGTGTCAGAGGACCCCAGGTAATGGGATGAGTCCCAGGCTGGGCTAGGTGTCGCACTGCAGGTTGGACGACACTGTGCTTCACTGGTGACCTGGGACTGTGCTAAAATAAGAGACTTCAGCACATTTCTGGGCCATATTAAAGCACTGATCAGCCCCATCCACCCTGCAGAACAGAACCATGCCACATGGTAAGTGAATCCCACCCTCCTAATCAGAGGGAACTCTGCTGATAGACAAGATCTCTGTCATCATGCCTGATGTGTGTGTGTCTGTGTGTGTGTGATCGTGCCTGATGTGTGTGTCTCTGTGTGTATGTGTCTGTGTGGGTGATTGTGCCTGATGTGTGTGTGTGTCTGTGTGTGTGATCATGCCTGATGTGTGTGTGTGTGTGTGTGTGTGTGTGTGTGTGTGTGTGTGTAGATGGAACTTTTGCTCCTTGCCTTTCAGTCCAGAGCCAAAGTGGCCTTCAAGGAAGCGATGTTCACTAATCAAAGAAATTCTAAGTTCCAACACAGTTGCTACATTGTAAAAAGGTCAACCTCCATATTTACAGATTGCTTCAACCCAACTCTGAGAATAGTTTTAAAGTTAAAATAGTGCACACAGGAAGCCAACATTAAACTAACAAATCATTATTTAGCATAATCATTTAAAAAAAACCCTCTCTTCAAATACACATGCATACGATGGTCCACTACCCATCGGCATGTGTGACTGGAGGAATGTATTCTGCCTTGCAGGAGCCATGTTCCACCTGGTACAGAATGACTAGCCGCAGCAGTCTGCTTTCTGCCAAAGAGCAAGGTAAAATCTCTGAAAATAATTAGAATCTAGCTTTCTAACATACATGCATTTGGGGTGGGTCATTCACTGACTCTAGTTTTATTGTTCAGTTTGAAAATCCTAAAGGGGCTTTTACTTCTTGAGAAAGGATCTGATTTGCCAGATTCTGGGAAATTAAATGTAGGCTAGGCATAGCATTGGTAGGATTTATTCTATTTACATTATAGTATCACTTTGGTTAAGGCTATCCTTGCCCTGGAGAGCTCATAATCCACATGGACACAATAGACAAAAGGTGAGAAGGAAAACAGAGAGGTGAGCAATTTGCCCATGATGCAGCTCAGTGGCAGAGTGGGAAAAGAAGTCCCTAGACCACACTGCTCTCCAGTGGAAGGGCATATTCCACCAGCATTACTCCAGCTCTGATCTGGAGGCCAGCCATTAAAGAGAAGTGTAATGCATTAACTGTTTCAGCTAAGGGCTTGTCTCCACTTACCGGGAGATCGATGCTGCAGAGAGCATTCTCCCAGAGTTTGATTTAGTGGGTCTAGTAAGGACCCATTAAATCAACCACTGATCGTGCTCCCATCGACTCCAGTATTCCACCAGGTCATGAGGAATAAGGGAAGTCAATGGAAGAGTTTCTCCCATTGACCTTCTGCAGTGGGGATGCCGTGGTAAGTTGAGCTAAGGTCCATCAGCTCCATTACACTATTCACATAGCTGGAGTTGTGTCTGTTTGGTGGAAAGTCCCCCTCATGGCTGCCAAAGAGAGAAGAATGCTTCATATGAAACAGTCAACAGAGTATTCTGGTGGGAACAGTCTTTGGCCCCCTAAGGTCCTGTGCAGAGTTTAACATGTGGCAGAATTCTCACCAATGAAGACTGGGGTGAAAGGACTTCATGACACGTATGCATTTAGAGGTCCCTTGGAAATGAACTATTACAAAGGCTGAGTTAGGAAGAAAAGCCCTGGGCTCTCTGTATAATAGTAGGTATGTTAAAATGGTTAACCGGTGAAATGATAATAAGTCTGTAAGGGTACGTCTAGACTACAGGGTTTTGTCGACAGAAGTTTTGTCAACAGATACTGTCAACAAAGCTTCTGTCGACAAAGAGCGTCTAGACGACATCCAGTTCTGTCGACAAAGCAAGCCGCTTTGTCAACATAACAGTGTGGACGCAAAGGGCAGTGTGGATGCAGAACTCTGTCGACAAAAGGCGTTATTCCTCGTAGAATGAGGTTTACATACGTCGACAAAACTCCTGAGTTCTGTCGACGTTATGTCGACATAACTCAAAGGCGGTGTGAACGCAGGTATAGTTTTGTCGACAAAACAAAACTTCTGTCGACAAAACCCTGTAGTCTAGACACACCCTTAGGGTAGCCATGTTAGTCTGTAACTACTCATTTTTATGGTTAAATGATAGCACTTCACTGGTTAAGCCTTTTAACCTAGGTCCCACCACCTGATCCATCAGCATAGCTCCATCCCAGTGCAGCTGGCCACCCCCAGAGCTAACTAGCAAGGGCCAGTTACCCAGTAAGCATACTGGTAAGCTTCACGCATACTCGTTAGCATCCCTATGTAATAATAAAATACGGGACTATGTAGCACTTTAAAGACTAACAAGATGGTTTAAAGTGCTGCATAGTCCTGTATTTTGTTTCAGCTACACCAGACTAACACGGCTACATTTCTATCACTATGTAATAATACTTTGCCTTGCATAGTATTGTACATTCACAGATCTCAAAATCACATAAAGCAGCACAAACCCTATTTTACAGATGGGAAAACTGAGGTGCAGAGAGGGAAAGTAACTTGCCCCAAGATCACTCAGCAAGTCTGGGGCAGAACCAGGAATAGGACCTAGAGCTTCTGACTCGTCTTCCAATGTCTCCCTCGTTGCAATGGACAAACCTCAAGAAGTTCAGAACTGAGACTGGAAAATTCTCAGCTACAGACTCAAACCAGACTTCAGATCAGCCAAAATTAGGCTAGAAATTGTGCGGACAAGCTCAGTCTGACCTTTCCCGCTCTTCTTTTTCTAGCCAGAATACTGGGGTTCCATCTTTGGTCTCAGCCACAAGGTGAAAGTGCAAAAATAAAGGCCAAGGAAAAAAGAGCTAAAAAAATTCAGAATCTTCATAAAGGATTGGGATCAAATTGATTACAGTAGAGTCCCGATTATCCGACCTTCCGCTTTATCCGACATAGCCGTACCACTGCTGCTTTGTCTGGCAGTGTGCCTGGTCCCAGCCCACTGTGGCCAGGCCACTCCATTGCCTGTCGTGGTGATGCATGCTATGGGGAGTTGGGGGCCTTTCTCTTGACACAAGACCTCTTGGGGTGCAACGGGGGTGACACAGGGGAAGCCACGTAGACTGCTCTGTGCTCAGACCGAGCCACTCTCCAGAGGCTCCTGCAGCCAGGCCACGCCGGCCCAGCTGCGCTAGCGACGCTTGCTTGGGGGTGACACGCAGCCTCGGCCCTGCCTGCGGATTGGCACAGCCTTGTTCCAGGGCCACATGGCCACCACTTCCTGCTCCTGCTCCTCCCTTTGCACGGCGGGAACTAGGCCGGGAAGCTGCGGCCCTTTCAAACCCAGCCCTGACTCCAGGGGACCAGTGTGTGAGATCCAGCCACGGGGCGCGTGCGGGGCTGACGGGCGCTGCCACCGGGAGGCAGGGAAGGGGCCGAGCCACGGCCGTTGTTGGCTGCTTTGTCTCTGAGCTGTTCGGGGTGCAGCACAGTGGCAGCCCACAGCAGGGTGGGAGCCCCCTGAGCCGCTTGCAGGGCACAGCTGCTGCGGGGGGTGATTAAGGGGAGGGCTGGCTAAAGCGGTCTGGACCCCCCTCACAATACAGCAAAGAATTTTATCACACCCCAGGCCATTTCTGTATTATCCAACACTTTTGTTACTCCGACCACCTATTGGTCCTGTTTAGATGGGATAATTGGGACTCTAATGTAGTAAAAATAAGAGGAAAGGGAATTATAGATACTTCTTCAAACTAGCTTGACCATTCTCGATTCCAATATCAATGCAGATGAAATAGAGATGTCCTAATAACGTTACGTTACATGCACTGAATGCAGGAATAACAGAGGAATAAAATATTTGGACTTGTGGTCCATCTCCTCCAGTTTCCTACCTCCAGCTATGGCCACTATCACAGCAGAACAAGAAACACTTCAATAGGTAGCTATAGAATAACCTGTCCCCAGGAATCGTTTCCTCCTAGCCCCGATATCCAGACAAAGCATTTGCCGTGAAGAACGAGGGCGTAAGATCTCTCTACATAGGACACTCAATTGTGTATTTTTTATTATTTACCAAAAGAGTGCTGCATATTCTTGTTTTTAAATCCTGCTAAGCTTTTGGCCTCAATATCTTGTCAATGAATTCCACAGGCTAATTGCATGCAGTGCAAAAAAAAACCTTCCTTTTCTATCAGTTTCGAATTTGCCTCCTTACATTTTCACTGAATATATACTCACACACATTTCCCACTCAGAAACCGAAGGCCAAGAAATATGTGAAATTGATGTTCTGCATAAGATTTATGGTAATTCCAAAACCATGCATTTAAAACCTGGATAATGTGTTTCCCAAAAAAGCCGCAACTGCAACATCATTATTTTGTTAAGGAATTTTAATGAAGCTGCCAGGTTACTTGAAACTTTATCTATTCCAGTGATCCAGCTGGACCCCATCCCAGGTGAATAGACGGTATTCGGAAACTTACCATGCACAGAATACTTGGTCAGATTTAAATTGGTCTATGTAGGGCAGCATTAAAATAAGAAACTCTACCAAGGAAAGCCCAGCCTTTCTGAAAATAACCAGTCCTGCAGCTAGCACGTTAGGACTCAAAGCATCAAAGCAGAGCAGACTGACAGAGAGCCGTCGAGGGAGAGCCCTGGATGTCTCCACACGAAGCCAGCAGTGTGGCTAGGTTTGCTGGGTGGCGTGGAAGAGAGAGCTTTATGTCCTACCTGTCAATGATCACAGGATCCGAGGGAGTCTCGTTTCTGTTGCCACAACTTTTCTTTTCGCAGCATCGGCTGGAGAGGGGAGGAAACCAAAATGAGAGTATGTCCGTGAGTATTCATGGCAAAGCAATGAACTCTAAGCCTTGCTCAGCTGAACTGAAGGGCGCAATGGAGGGTTTAAGTAGCATCCAGAAAATTCAGAGATTTTCAAAAGGGGACTGGGGATCTCTGAACGGTCCCCAACTCCCATTCAATGTCAGCGGGATTTAAACACTTGGCTCCCTTTTGTCTCCTTTGAAAATCTCCTCCAAAAGAGAAAGCAATATTGTCACACTTGATAGTAAGGCGCCATTTATTAATGTTTAACAGATGTTGTAAGCATGTAATAGACATGAGCAGCATGTGTGATAGATGGTTATAAGCCCACCAGTAGAAGGCATCACAGTTGATGACAAATCATGGTTAAAAGCAACCTAACAACATGTTGGACTCTGTAAGAAATGACTGACCATTTATTCTACATGATTAACCTTCTTTATAACTAGGAATGTAATATAAAGGCTATACAATGTGTCCAGCAATGTGATAGCATAGAAATTGCATGTCTCGGCCTATTTCTGATGCACGTACAATATAATCTGGACTCAGTGTACCAACATACAAGTTCTCTTTTATAGGTACAATACAATGGGTGTATCTGGGGCTTTGCAAAATAACCAGGTCCCTGCCCCAAAGGGATACAATAAGTAAAGTACTGCAGAGGGACTTGATTTAAAATATACACACAGGCATACTGAGTGTGTGCATCTAAGCTTGCAGACAGATATACCAGCACACATATCTTCTACAAAGAAGCAATGAGTAGTCCGGTAGCACCTTAGAAACTAACAAAAATATATATTTAGTATCATGAGCTTTCGTAGGCAAAACCCACTCATCTGAGGAAGTGGGTTTTGCCCCTCAAAGCTCATGATACTAAATATATATTTTTGTAAGTGTCCACAGTGCTACAGGACTACTCGTTTCTTTAAAATTACAGACTAACATGGCTATCCTCTGAGACTTTTATATATGCTACAAGAGAGCTGCAGTGCTACTCTGGGAGGTAACAGAGCACTATTAACTCTAAATGCCATCAGCATTGATAGGGTGCTTGGCACCAGATCATGGTACATGCCCATTCTGTCTGAAAAACCAAGCGTAGGATCCTTCTCTGACATATATCGCTTCACTGATTTCAATGGGGCTAGACCAATTTATGCCAACTAAGGATCTGGCAACTTGACGCATATTTGGGAGGGAGTGGAGAAATTTCTATCTCTATATAGCGGCAGCATGCAAGCCCGTTAGACCTGTGAAGAGAACCCTGATGCTGTAGTAAATCAAAGTTCCAATTGACAAAACCAGGAAGCTGGCTGCGGGAAACAACATTTATCACCACAATTGCTGAACATTTAAGCACACGGTATCAAAATTCCCATCTGCCCCAACAGTCGGCTTCTGCATAAAAGCAAGCCACGAGTCCCGTTGCCTTTTCATGAAGTGACTTGGATTTACGCTAAAGTAAGAGTGAGCTGGATTGGGCCCAAACGGTTGAGTTTTATGTGCAGTGGTTTTGAGGGGGCTGAATGCATTTTCAAAATTCCTAGTTAGCCTGAATTCAGCTCCTTTCCACAGGGAATTGCCCTGACCAGAGGAAAAACAGATAAAAATGCAGGAGTGAGTCCAAGGCAACGCAATATGAAGGATTAATGCTCTTGAAGTCGATAATATTCAGATATAAAATGCTTAAAATATAAACATGGACATAAAACTTCCCGCCTCCCAGTTATTCAGCATTTCAAGTCCGTGCATTCCATCTGCAAGTTGTAGCGTGGCAGGAACTCCATGGCTTTGTGAGTTTACACGGCCCAGCAAGGTGGGGATGCAACAAGAAGATCTCTTTCGTTAGCAGTTCGAATGTGAACTATTTTGACACTTTTTACATTCCTTTGCCTCAGTCCTGCAGTTTTTCATTAAGTCCATTCCTTTTCAGATAAAGGATTCACTAGATTTTTTTTTTAGAAAAAAAGTCCCTGGGGCACGTATAAATTGTCAGAGTTCCATTACTTTCAGTAAAGCTCCCCCAAATGCTGCCATTTCTGTCTTTTGTTTCTGAGTCTCACAAGGGTAGCTGTGTTAGTCTGTAACTTAAAAAAACTTAAAAAAATCAACGAGTGATCCCATAGCACCTTAGAGACTAACAAATATATATTTATATATACAGTATCATGAGCTTTTATGGGTACAACCCTCTTCAAATGAGTGGAGCAAAAGGGACAGAAACACCCCAAAATTTAGGGTTTGTCCCTTTTGCTGCACTCATCTGAAGAAGTGGGTTGTACCCATAAAAGCTCAAGATTATATAGATATAGATATAGATATAGATATAGATATAGATATAGATATAGATATAGATATAGATATAGATATAGATATAGATATAGATATAGATATAGATATAGATATAGATATAGATATAGATATAGATATAGATATAGATATAGATATAGATATAGATATAGATATAGATATAGATATAGATATAGATATAGATATAGATATAGATATAGATATAGATATAGATATAGATATAGATATAGATATAGATATAGATATAGATATAGATATAGATATAGATATAGATATAGATATAGATATAGATATAGATATAGATATAGATATAGATATAGATATAGATATAGATATAGATATAGATATAGATATAGATATAGATATAGATATAGATATAGATATAGATATAGATATAGATATAGATATAGATATAGATATAGATATAGATATAGATATAGATATAGATATAGATATAGATATAGATATAGATATAGATATAGATATAGATATAGATATAGATATAGATATAGATATAGATATAGATATAGATATAGATATAGATATAGATATAGATATAGATATAGATATAGATATAGATATAGATATAGATATAGATATAGATATAGATATAGATATAGATATAGATATAGATATAGATATAGATATAGATATAGATATAGATATAGATATAGATATAGATATAGATATAGATATAGATATAGATATAGATATAGATATAGATATAGATATAGATATAGATATAGATATAGATATAGATATAGATATAGATATAGATATAGATATAGATATAGATATAGATATAGATATAGATATAGATATATGTGTGTGTGTGTGTGTGTGTGTGTGTGTGTGTTAGTCTCCAAGGGTATGTCTACAATGTCTACATTTTTTGAGGAGTAACATTAGTTCAGACTAAGAGCTTTAGTCCGAACTAACGCGTCCCGGCGCGCACTTCCTGGTTCGAATCAGCTGTGATTCAAACTAGCGCGCCGGCGAGATCATGTTAATGGAGCGCGGGATATTTAAATCCCCGCTTCATTAACTAGTTCGATTGTCTCCATTTGCATCCCTAGTTCGAACTAGGGATGCAGTGTAGACATACCCTAAGGGTTCACTTACACAGCAGGGTTTAACTCAAAATAAGCTTCACACATTGAGCTATGTCAATTGCATTGCTTATTTCGAAATTGGGAACATCTACACTCAGCATTTATTTCGAAATAAAGCACTCTTCCTCAGACTTCCCTTACTCCGTGTACAATGAGGGTTGCAGGAGTCAGAGTACGAAATCCTCCAGCTTGACCGTATTTCAACATTATTTCAAAATAACTGCCTGCTGTGTATATGCGGACTAAGTTATTTCAAAATAATGCTAGTTATTTTTAAATAATGTTGTTGTATAAATATACCCTAAGGAGCTATAGGACTACTCATTGTTATTTTCAGTTTGTTTTTGGGGAGTTTTTTTATTGCACCTTTCATAAGATTCACTGCCCAATGGCCATTTCTACCAAGTTTCTTACTTTTGTAAGAAAGTTGAAGATTTCAGATTTTCCAAAGAAAAAACCTAACACAACACTCTCATTCAGAAGAGTAGAGGGTTGATTTCTATTTTAAGCCACACATTTTATGACCAATTGGAGATTAAATGAGGAGCAAATCTCTGATTGTTTTTAATGTAGCATGCAGTTTGCCACTATCAAACAAAAAAAGTCTTAGCTTAGTTTTTAAAAAAGTTTTATACTGGTGCAGGGTTTTTTTATTGCTAACTGAAACAAAAAAATCATTGTCTTTCTTTGCAGTAATACCAGCAAGACACCCTATGGACATATAACTCATACAGATTATCTATCCACAGGCACTTTGGATTAGAACGTCACAACAACACTCAAACATAAAGCATAGTACCTACACCAAATCTCATTGTCCACACATGCTTCCAGGAAAAGTTGTCATCACACTGTAGATTTGTTTAGATTATATTACATGGATTTGGGAGGCAACGTAACTGCTTCCTGGTATGAACCTATCTCATTGTTAGAATTAGTTTGCATACTTTGTTACCACATTTATGAGCTTTGAAGTATTATATATTACTAAAATATGTGTTTGACCTGAGGAGGTGCAAGCACTTTGTAAATATTCATTTTCTCATTGTTTGCCTCCACTGTAGCACATTTTGTTAGATGACTAAACTATTTCCTCTCACCTCTGTACTTTCTGAGCCCCAGAACATATGAAATGTTTTATCCTGAAAGCACCACCTCTTTCCATAAGAAAACAAGTCCAAGTTGTGGATTGAATTATTTCCAAAATGTGAGATTATGCCCGTCAAAAGTTTCTGATAAAGTCCATCTTGAATCTTCAGTCCTCCTCACCCCCATCCAACGTATTTCAAATGACCTATCACTGTGGCATTTAAAAAAACTGACAAGCTTCCGACTGGGTTGTTATATAATACTTGTTCTTTACTGGGCTGACCCTTCTCCCAGATAAATCAATGGTAAAAATCTAACTGACTTCAGTATGGGGCCCGTTACGTTGATTTAAGTGAATATTAGGACCCTGATCCTGCTAATACTTAAGCACCTGAGTAACTTTATATACGCATGTCATTCCTTTGGTCCCAGTAGAATTACTCACTTGCATAAATTTGTAGGATCAGGGCTGAAGACTTCTTATGGGCACAGAAATAAATTCTTACTGCACTTTGAGCTCTCTAACAGATCCACACAGGATACAGTAAATCTTGCAATATGAACTACACTGACGAAAAAGCCACAACCAATAAGACCAACAAAGCCACCCCTAGAAACTGGATAGGGCCCCATATCAAAGAAAGAATTATGCATTCCCTCTCCCCCCCCCCCCCCCCCCCCCCCCCCCCCCCCCCCCCCCCAAAACCA